GGTCTCTTCCAACTCTTTCATTCTATGATTCTATGAGGGGCTCGGATACAAGCCGGAGACACACACCCGCTATTCGGTGTGAAGACCCACAAAGAGAAGGGCATCCAAAATGGTCAAAGTGTCATGAGTGACTTTTCAATGACTTTAAAGCATAGGTTCTTTTTATGGCAATTTCCAGTGTGAGTGCGTGCCTCAGATTACAGAAAAACATTTAGACAAAGAATGACATTGGACATACAGATATTGCAATTTCCAGTGTGAGAGGGTACATCAGATTACAGAAAAATGACATTGGACATACAGACATACAGATTCTATGCAACTACATTGGATTTACAATTACATTGATTAACAAGCAAACAAAGGGGAATTACATTTTCTCGTAGCATTCACACCACATGTATATAGGAAATTCATCCTCAGGTATTCCAATATTACCATATCCTTTTCTCCCTCCTTGGAGAAGAACTTCTTAGGCCAGACCCTGCTTTCCTGCAGCCTGTCAACATCACAGTTCCAAAACTTCCATAATTCCATAACTTCAAAACTCAGCCAAAATTTCTTTCCCTAAGAACAATGCCAAGGATCAGATCTGTGTTTTCCCTACAGCAGAGCCTGACTCCCTGCACAAAATCAAAGACTCCAAAAGCGCACTTCTTCCTCTTCCCTTGAGAAAGAAGCCCCAAAGTGTCCAGACCGCTCCTGTGCAAATCTGCCACTCTCCATAGCACCATCTCTCTCCTTCTCATGGAGCAGAGCATGGTGGGTGGAACAGACTCCTCAGGTTTGCCACACTTTGAGCATTATTAGACTGAGTCTTTTATAGGAATATTCTGTTGATGTAGTCCCAAAGTTGTAAATTAATGATAGACATCTTCCATCCTGGATCCATCTCAGTTTCCTGGCCAGATGTTGATCTTGATTGCGTTCTTGTAGTTTTTTTCAGGCTATATGGTCATGTTCTAGAGGCATTCCCTCCTGACGTTTCGCTTGCATCTATGGCAAGCATCCTCAGAGGTAGTAAGGTCTTCTTGATTGTTGTTAACAAACAAAAGGCTTGTGTTGACTTCCTTCTTAACATAAGGAATGCTGCAAACATTTCTGTTATCACTGTCCCAATTCTTATCAGAGTTTACTTTTCAGCTCTTATTAGCAGGTTTTAATCACAGTCCAGCAAGCAGGGAGGTAGTAATTGCAGGCCTTAATATTATACTGGTGTCTCCAAAATGACGATAATAATAATAATAGTAATAATAATAGTAATAATAAAACTTTATTTATATACTGCTCTATCTCCCCAAGGAGGATTCAGGGCAGTTTCCAAGTACATCACCGAAACATACAAAGTAAACAGCATAACATAAAATTAACAAAATTAGCTCCATACATCCTTCCATTCTTCCATTAATTGCCACACATCATATTAAATTCATATTTATCAAATCTGCAATGATATTTTTCTCTTGGAGGCAGGTTCCTCTCACTTCCTGTTGTCCCAGCCCTGTTCTTAACTAGGAGTTGTTTGTAAGTCGGATGTTTGTAACTCAGGGACGGCCTGCATTGGGAGAAAGGCAGGATAATAATAAAGTTAAATACATAAGATAAGAAGTACTTTGTTGTATGTGGATAAATGAAAACCTGGGTAGTGATCCTCCCAGACTGGAAGTTGTGTTGACGTTTTGAACGGAGACCATGATTTGTTTACACTGGTCTTGAATTGCAGCTTTGCATACAAAAGGCCTGCTTTACCTTTGACTGGTCCTGCCCGTATACCACATTCTTAGACAGAAACGTCTGTCCACTCTTCATGTCCTTCTCTGACTATCTGAACTTGATGTAAATCCTGTTCCCTAGAATCATAGAATCATAGAATCAAAGAGTTGGAAGAGATCTCGTGGGCCATCCAGTCCAACCCCATTCTGCCAAGAAGCAGGAATCTTGACTACTGCAACGCTCTCTACGTGGGGCTGCCCTTGAAGACGGCCCGGAAGCTTCAGCTAGTTCAGCGCGCGGCAGCCATGTTACTAACAGGAGCGGGACGCAGGGAGCACACAACGCCCTTGTTGTTCCAGCTCCACTGGCTGCCGATCTGCTACCGGGCCCAATTTAAGGTGCTGGTGTTATCCTACAAAGCCCTAAACGGTTCCGGCCCAAAATACCTTTCGGACCGCATCTCGGCCTATGAGCCCACGAGGGCCTTGAGATCGTCTGGGGAGGCCCTTCTCTCGATCCCGCCTGCCTCACAGGCACGTCTGGCGGGGACGAGAGAGAGGGCCTTCTCAGTGGTGGCCCCCCGGCTGTGGAACACCCTCCCTGTTGACATCAGACAGGCGCCCTCCCTTATGGCTTTTCGTAAGAGCTTAAAGACCTGGCTATTCGAGAAGGCATTTAATTGAGACCCACACGAATCTGGTAATGACATTTGGAACGGACTATGGATTATGAGATTGGCTATGATTCTATGTTGTGATGGCGCGGATCTATTAGTGTGATTTAGATTAATGTGTAATTCGGTTGTTGTTGTTATATTGTATGTTTTTGTAGACTGTTTTTACATGTTGTACACCGCCGCGAGTCGCCCGAGGGCTGAGAGTGGCGGTCAACAAATGAAGTAAATAAATAAATAAATAATATTGCATTCAAATCACCCCTGACAGATGGCCATCCAGCCTCTGTTTAAAAGCTTCCAAAGAAGGAGCCTCCACCACACTCCGGGGCAGAGAGTTCCACTGCTGAATGGCTCTCACAGTCAGGAAGTTCTTCCTAATGTTCAGATGGAATCTCCTTTCTTGTAGTTTGAAGCCATTGTTCTGCGTCCTAGTCTCCAGGGAAGCAGAAAACAAGCTTGCTCCCTCCTCCCCTGTGGCTTCCTCTCACATATTTATACATGGCTATCATATCCCCTCTCTGCCTTCTCTTCTTCAGGTTAAACATGCCCAGCTCCTTAAGCCGCTCCTCATAGGGCTTGTTCTCCAGACTCTTGATCATTTTAGTCACCCTCCTCTGGACACATTCCAGCTTGTATCTATCTGTAACCTTTTGCATGCTGCAAGTCGCTTCTGGTCCAAGTGGCCAGCTACTGGTCAAAGGACATTTAATCAACTACCAAGCTTGCAAACTTTGTGTTTTGTTTGTTTGTTTGTTTGTTTGTTTGTTTGTTATATAATTCAATACAACTGTTTGGTTTGCTCCTGACACAAAAAATAAATAACCTTTTGCATTCTTTTTGGGGCCCATATTCCATTGTTAGGGATCAATTCTCCAACAAGTTTTGCCTTTCTTTATGTTTCACAATCTTCCTGCCAACATGATCTGTTTTTCCTCATATCCTATATACCTGAGCCTGTGAGCACTTTTCATCTGAGAAGGCTAAAGACCTTGTCAAACCACATCTCCCAGCATTGCATAGCATTGAGCCACAGTGGTGTCAAACTGCATTAACTCTGCAGTGTGGATGGGTCTGTATGGCAGAAGATTTCGTAGTGTGTATCCAAGGAACTGTTTGCATTTTTTGCAAACGTAATGCCTTTCTCTTGGAAAATGATTCCGTTTTTATATGATTGAGTTGTCTGATATGTTAAAATTGTATTGTTGACGTTTTTCATGGCCGGAATCACTGAGTTGTTGTAGATTTTTCGGGCTGTATGGTCATGTTCTAGAAGCATTCTCTCCTGACGTTTCACCTGCATCTATAGCAAGCATCCTCACAACCTCTTGCCATAGATGCAGGTGAAATGTCAGGAGAGAATGCTTCTAGAACATGGCCATACAGCCCAAAAAACCTACAACTCTATGTTAAAATGGTTCCTACTGTTTTAGAGTTTGAATGGCTTAAACCGATTTTATTCCAGGGATTTTTCAGTTAAATATTTTAGTAAAGTGAACAAACGGAGAGGAATCGTCAGTAGTCAGGCCTGTTTGCTTTGAGCTTGCAGCTCAGACATACATGCATTTTACTCAGAGGTTAACCTTCTACACTGACCATTGGATGCAGCTTGAAGCAAGATTCAAATGGCTATAGTTCAGTGGTTCTCAACCTTCCTAATGCCGCGACCCCTTAATACAGTTCCTCATGTTGTGGTGACCCCCAACCATAACCCTAACATTATGAATCGCCATGTAAATAATGATCTGCAGGATGTATTTTCATTCACTGGAGCAAATTTGGCACAAATGCCCGGTATGCCCAAATCTGAATACTGGTGGGGTTGGCGGGGGGATTGATTTTGCCATTTGGGAGTTGTAGTTGCTGGGATTTATAGTTCACCTGTAAACAAAGAGCATTCTGAACCCCACCAACAATGGAATTGAACCAAAGTTGGCACACAGAACTCCCATGACCAACAGAAAATACTGGAAGGGTTTGATGGGCATTGAGCTTGAGTTTGGGAGTTGAAGTTCGCCTGCATCCAGAGAGCACTCTAGACTCCAATAATGATGGTTCTGGACCAAACTTGGCACGGATACTCCATATGCCCAAATGTGAACACTTGTGGGGTTTTGGGAAAATAGACCTTGAGATTTGGGAGTTGTACTTGCTGGGATTTATAGTTCACCTACAATCAAGGAGCGTTCTGAACCCCAACAATGATAGAATTGGGCCAAACTTCCCACACAGAGACCCCTTTGGCCAACAGAAAAGACTGTGTTTTCTGATGGTCTTTGGTGACCCCTCTGATACCCCTTCGCGACCCCTCCAGGGGTCCCGACCCCCAGGTTGAGAAACACTGCTATAGTTGGATGAGATAAATGTGTGCAAAAGAAAGCCCTTCATACACATCACTTCTTTGAGTCATTACCATCTAGGCCAGCGGTTCTCAACCTGGGGGTCGCGTCCCCCAGGGGGGTTGCTGGGCCATTTTCTGGGGGTCACGAAGGCGCCTCGGTTGGCTGCTGATTGGGATTATTTTACTCTCAGGTAGGCGCATGCAGGGCCACCCCCACTTTGGAGATGCCTTTTCTCAGGACCCTTTTCTGTCTCCTTTGGTCCCACCCTTCAGGCTGAGAAGAAGGCCAAAGTCATTGCCGGGATGAACGCGGTGGAGGAGGCGCTGCCGCGGAGCGAGCCCCAGAAGGAGGAGGAGGCCAGCCCCCCAGCCTCCCAGCAGCCCACCGACCCGGCCTCCCCCAATGTGGCCACCACCCCAGAGCCCCTGGGGCCCGATGCCGCCGACAAGGGCATGTCCAAGACGGCCGACGACGAGCCTGAGTATGAGGTGAGACACTTCTCCTCGCTCCTCATTGAGGACTGGAGACTTGGGCAGTGTGGGTTGAATTCCAACACTCCCCTTCTTCAACCATAACTGCACAAGTCCATATGGTTCATCATCTTCAAATTCATCCATTTTATTTATTTACAGTATTTTTATTCTTCCCTTCTTACCGCGGAGGGGACTCAGGGCGGATTACAATGTTCATATACATGGCAAGCATTCAATGCCATAGACACACAACATATATAGACAGACACACAGAGGCTATTTAACATTCCAGCTTTTTGATGAGGGTATTCTGGCCACCAGGGGAGCTGTCGCTTCACCATCCATTTGTGACACTAATGAAATACTTCCTCATTCTTTGCATGCTTGCTGGGGATTTTTATGGCCTCGTAAATACATGGCAGACATTCAATGCCATAGACACACAACATATATAGATATAGTCAAAGGCTATTTAACGTTCCAGCTTTTTGATGAGGGTATTCTGGCCACCAGGGGAACTGTCGCTTCACCGTCCATTTGTGATACGGATGAAGTACTTCCTCATTAATTGCATGCTTGCTGGAGATTTTTATGGCCTCGTAAGCACATGGCAAACATTCAATGCCATAGACACACAACATATATAGATATAGTCAAAGGCTATTTAACATTCCAGCTTTTTGATGAGGGTATTCTGGCCACCAGGGGAGCTGTCGCTTCACCATCCATTTGTGACACTGGTGAAGTGCTTCCTCATTCTTTGCATGCTTGCTGGAGATTTTTATGGCCTCGTAAATACATAGCAAACATTCGATGCCATAGACACACAACATATATAGACAGACACACAGAGGCTATTTAACATTTCAGCTTTTTTTGTGTTTTTTTTTTTGTTGTTGTTGTGTCAGGAGCGACCTGAGAAACTTCAAGTCGCTTCTGGTGTGAGAGAACTGACCGTCTGCAAGGACGTTGCCCAGGGGACACCTGGATGATTTGATGTTTTATCATCCTTGTGGGAGGCTTCTCTTGTGTCCCCGCATGAGGAGCTTGAGCTGATAGAGGGAGCTCATCCGCCTCTTCCTGGATTTGAACCTATGACCTGTTGGTCTTCAGTCCTGCCGGCACAGGGGTTTAACCCACTGCACCATGGGGGGAGGGGGTCCAGCTTTTTTATGAGGGTATTCTGGCCACCAAGGGAGCTATTGCTTCACCATCCATTTGAGACACTGATGAAGTACTTCCTCATTCTTTGCATGCTTGCTGGAGATTTTTATGGCCTTGTAAATACCTGGCAAACATTCAATGCCATAGACACACAACATACATAGACACACAGAGGCTATTTAGCATTCCAGCTTTTTGATGAGGGTATTCTGGCCACCAAGGGAGCTATTGCTTCACCATCCATTTGAGACACTGATGAAGTACTTCCTCATTCTTTGCATGCTTGCTGGAGATTTTTATGGCCTTGTAAATACCTGGCAAACATTCAATGCCATAGACACACAACATACATAGACACACAGAGGCTATTTAGCATTCCAGCTTTTTGATGAGGGTATTCTGGCCACCAGGGGAGCTGTTGCTTCACCGTCTATTTGAGACACTGATGGAGTACTTCCTCATTCTTTGCATGCTTGCTGGAGATTTTTATGGCCTCGTAAATACATAGCAAACATTCGATGCCATAGACACACAACATATATAGACAGACACACAGAGGCTATTTAACATTTCAGCTTTTTTTGTGTTTTTTTTTTTGTTGTTGTTGTGTCAGGAGCGACCTGAGAAACTTCAAGTCGCTTCTGGTGTGAGAGAACTGACCGTCTGCAAGGACGTTGCCCAGGGGACACCTGGATGATTTGATGTTTTATCATCCTTGTGGGAGGCTTCTCTTGTGTCCCCGCATGAGGAGCTTGAGCTGATAGAGGGAGCTCATCCGCCTCTTCCTGGATTTGAACCTATGACCTGTTGGTCTTCAGTCCTGCCGGCACAGGGGTTTAACCCACTGCACCATGGGGGGAGGGGGTCCAGCTTTTTTATGAGGGTATTCTGGCCACCAAGGGAGCTATTGCTTCACCATCCATTTGAGACACTGATGAAGTACTTCCTCATTCTTTGCATGCTTGCTGGAGATTTTTATGGCCTTGTAAATACCTGGCAAACATTCAATGCCATAGACACACAACATACATAGACACACAGAGGCTATTTAGCATTCCAGCTTTTTGATGAGGGTATTCTGGCCACCAAGGGAGCTATTGCTTCACCATCCATTTGAGACACTGATGAAGTACTTCCTCATTCTTTGCATGCTTGCTGGAGATTTTTATGGCCTTGTAAATACCTGGCAAACATTCAATGCCATAGACACACAACATATATACACAGACACTCAGAGGCTATTTAACATTCCAGCTTTTTGATGAGGGTATTCTGGCCACAGGGGAGCTGTCGCTTCACCGTCCATTTGAGACACTGATGGAGTACTTCCTCATTCTTTGCATGCTTGTTGGAGATTTTTATGACCTCGTAAATTAGTTAAATTAGCCCCCCCGCAAAAGCGGTACCTAAATTTCCTACTTGAGAGATGCAACTGTCTTTCGGGTTGCAAAGGTCGATAGCAAGCTACACAAATTGGTCGGAAGCTCACTCTGACCTGGGCTGGCTTCGAGCTCATGACCGTTTTGTCAGTAGTGATCTTAATGCAGCTGACTCCCAGCCAACTGTGCAACACTATCTTTCAGTCCATACACAGAGTGGGCCCATAACCCTTTTCGTTAGGGAAAACTACCCAAAAATACAGCAGAGCATCCAAAATACAAACTGCTCCTCACTGAGGCCTGGAGACTTGTGCAGTGTGGGGTTGAATTCCAGAAGGGACCCTTAGGTTTGTGCTTATGCAGCCCTGGGATTCTGTGGGGCAAGCATGGGCAAACTTTGGCCGTCCTCCAGATGTTTTGGGCTTGACTCCCACAATTCCTAACAGTGGTGGGAGTGGAAGCCCAAAACACCTGGAGGAGGGCCAATCCTTCTGTAACATTGCATTATTACCCCCTTTGCTGCCTCCCACTGGTGGATATACCTTTAGACAAGTGTTCTCAACCTTTCTAATGCCAGAACCCCTTAATACAGTTTCTTATGTTGTGGTGACCCCAAACATAAAATTATTTTCGTTGCTACTTCATAATTGTAATTTTGCTCCCATTATGAATTGTCATGTAAATATCTGATATGAAGGATGTATTTCCATTCATTGGACCAAATTTGGCATAAATACCCAATACACCCAAATTTGAATACTAGTGGGGTGGGAGGGGGGGGGGTGGGGGTGGAAAAATGATTTTGTCATTTGCTAGTTGTAGTTGCTGGGATCTATAGTTCACCTGCAATCAAAGAGCATTCTGAACTCCACCAACAATGGAATTTAACCAAACTTGACATACCAAACTCCCATAACCAACAGAAAATACTTGAAGGGTTTGGTGGGCATTGACCTTGTGTTTGGGAGTTGTAGCTCACATCCAGAGAGCACTGTGGACTCGAAACAATGATAGATCTGGACCAAACTTGGCATGAATACTCCATATACCCAATTGTGAACACTGGTGGAGTTTTGGGGAAATAGACCTTGACATTTGGGAGTTGTAGTTGCTGGGATTTATAGTTCACCTACAATCAAAGAGCATTCTGAACCCCACCAATGATAGAATTGGGCCAGACTTCCCACACAAGGATCCCCATAACCAACAGAAAATTCTGGAGAGATATGGAATGAATTGACAGTGATTTAGGGGAGATGTAGTTCACCTACATCCACAGAGGTCTGTAAACCGAAATGACTATGCCAAAGGGATTTCTAAGACCATCAGAAATGTGTTTTCTGATGGTCTTTGCTGACCCCTATGAAACCCCCTCACGACCCCCCCTAGGGGTCCCGACTCCAGGTTGAGAAACACTGCTTTAGACCCCATGCAAAGTGGAGTGAGGTGTAAACTGAGAACTGGAAGCTTGAAAGGTCCAGCAGAGCCCTCATACCGGACTCTTCTCAAGGAAGGTATAAAGTCACGTCGTGTGGCCAAACAACAGCTGGACAGGGGTAAAACAGGTCCCACCAACTGTGGCTCCAATATAAAGAATTCACTGGCCCCTATATAACGCTTGAGGGGATATCTCTCACTAATTAACTTTCGCTGCCACCATAACTGAAAACGTACAGGAACACTCTAGTTGCTCAAAATATTAAACAGGGCTTTTATTACCACCAAGTACTGTGTTTTATTTTATCTTCTTTAAAAGGAAACCAGTTGAGGTTGATTGAAAAGAGGACTATAGCCACAGATGGCACACTTGACTCAGGCTATTTGTGTTTAAAATAAACAAGGAAAGTTTATTGATATAAATACAGAAGAAAGTAGATGCTGGTTAAAAGCTTGATGGTTACAGAGAAAATGTTGGTTCTTGAAAGCGTAACGGTTACATGTGAATGGTTCTGTCTTTGTTACAAATATAGAGATTTTCTTCTCTTTAAAACCAAGTATACTTGACAGGAGCTGAATCTCTGTCAAGATACAACTGTAGCTCAGCTACCCTCAACTGTGGCCTAGCTAACTACAAAACCAGCTATTTCTCCCTAAATAGCTATACCAGTTTGCTACAGCTTCTTTTGCTGGCAAACCTAAGGCAAACTGCCTACTCTTAACTAATCTCAAACACGAACTCCTAAACTGCCTTCCTACTCTAATCTCCAACAACAACAGACTGACTGAAAAAGCCCTCTTCTTTCCCTCCAAACAGTCTAAACTCCGCCCCCCCTTAATAAACCAATCCTGGCTGTTCTAAGGTTGGCTCAGGCCTAGGCCACTCCCCCTCTCTGAAATGGTGCTTTTCCCTAAACTAAAATGGCTCCTGCTGCTTTCTGCCAGGCCCACTAAAGCTGCAACTAACTGGCCCGCCTCTCCCAGGCCCCGCCATCCAGGCCGGAAAGGTAAGGGATCTTTACAGAAGGCCTCCTTCCCAATTGCCTTCCCTACCCGCTTGACCCCCTTCTCTTCCCTCCGCAGGACGGCCGGGGCTTTGGCATCGGAGAGCTGGTCTGGGGGAAGCTGCGGGGCTTCTCCTGGTGGCCGGGACGCATCGTCTCCTGGTGGATGACCGGCCGGAGCCGGGCCGCGGAGGGCACCCGCTGGGTCATGTGGTTCGGGGACGGGAAGTTCTCTGTGGTGAGTGGACGGCGTGGACGCAGAGCGGCACCTGCACAGGACTGGCACCTGAGTTTCTGATGCCAATAATAATAAATAAATAAACTTTATTGGTATCCCGCTCCCATCTCCCCCATGGGGTCTCAGTGCGGTTTACATGAGGCCAAGCCCAAAACAACAATTAGAATCATAGAATCAAAGAGTTGGAAGAGACCTCCTGGGCCATCCAGTCCAACCCCATTCTGCCAAGAAGCAGGAATATTGCATTCAAATCACCCCTGACAGATGGCCATCCAGCCTCTGTTTAAAAGCTTCCAAAGAAGGAGCCTCCACCACACTCCGGGGCAGAGAGTTCCACTGCTGAACGGCTCTCACAGTCAGGAAGTTCTTCCTCATGTTCAGTGGAATCTCCTCTCTTGTAGTTTGAAGCCATTGTTCCGCGTCCTAGTCTCCAGGGAAGCAGAAAACAAGCTTGCTCCCTCCTCCCTGTGGCTTCCTCTCACATATTTATACATGGCTATCATATCCCCTCTCAGCCTTCTCCTCTTCAGGCTAAACATGCCCAGCTCCTTAAGCCGCTCCTCATAGGGCTTGTTCTCCAGACCCTGGATCATTTTAGTCACCCTCCTCTGGACACATTCCAGCTTGTCAATATCTCTCTTGAATTGTGGTGCCCAGAATTGGACACAATATTCCAGATGTGGTCTAACCAAAGCAGAATAGAGGGGTAGCATTACTTCCCTAGATCTAGACACTATGCTCCTCTTGATGCAGGCCAAAATCCCATTGGCTTTTTTTGCCGCCACATCACATTGTTGGCTCATGTTTAACTTGTTGTCCACGAGGACTCCCAAGATCTTTTTCACACGTACTGCTCTCGAGCCACATAAAATAAAACCGAAAACACAAATAATGAACAATAATAACGCAGTTACATAAAACAAATGACAACATAACAATATAGGATTACAATAAGCACAATCACAATAACATGGGCAAAATACATGTAATGGGTACGAGAAAAACTGGTTAAAACAGATTAAAAACTCTGGCGAGATAAAACGGAGACAGATTATTTGCAGAGGAGAGCTCATTATAGTGGAGGTCATGGAGCTAGTCTTTCCCATAAGAGGGGAATGTCCTCCAATAACAAAAAACGTTGAGGCTAAACACTAGTGTGAGGATGTAAATCTGTTGTCTCAAAACGATCTTGACAGATTAGAGAGATGATTGGCCAAAACTAACAAAATGAAGTTCAACAGGGACAAATGCAAGATACTCCACTTTGGCAGAAAAAACGAAATGCAAAGATACAGAATGGGGGACAAGGCCTGGCTCGAGAGCAGGACGTGTGGAAAAGATCTTGGAGTCCTCGTGGGGAGGAAGGGGAACATGAGCCAGGAATGTGATGTGGCAGCAAAAAAGGCCAGTGGGATTTTGGCCTGCATCAATAGGAGCATAGTGTCTAGATCTAGGGAAGTCATGCTCTATTCCACTTTGGTTAGACCACACCTGGAATATTGTGTCCAATTCTGGGCACCACAATTGAAGAGAGATGTTGATAAGCTGGAATGTGTCCAGAGGAGGGCGACTGGAATGATCAAGGGTCTGGAGAACAAGCCCTATGAGGAGCGGCTTAGGGAACTGGGCATGTTTAGCCTGAAGAAGAGAAGACTGAGAGGAGACATGATAGGCATGGATCAATATGTGAGGGGAAGTCTTAGGGAGGAGGGAGCAAGCTTGTTTTCTGCTTCCCTGGAGAGTAGGACATGGAACAGTTTATTTGTTTGTTTATTTATTTATTTACAGCTTTTGTATTCCACCCTTCTCACCCCGCAGGGGACTCAGGGCGGATTACAGTGTACACATATATGGCAAACATTCAATGCCAATTTTAACATACAACATATACAGACATACACAGAGGCTATTTAACTTTTTTCTGGCCACCAGGGGAGCTGTCGCTTTCATCGTCCATCTGCGACGCTGATGAAGCACTTCCGCATTCCCCGCATGCTTCCCCGCTGGAATGCTTTGCTGGAGTCTTCTTTATGGCCTCATAAATCAGTTAATTTAACCTCCCCACACTTTTAAGGTGGTACCTAATTTTCCTACTTGACAGATGCAACTGTCTTTCGGGTTGCAAAGGTCGACAACAGGCTACACAATTGGTTGGAAACCCACTCCAACCCGGGCTGGCTTCGAACTCATGACCTTTTGGTCAGAGTGATCTTAATGCAGCTGACACTCAGCCAGCTGCACCACAATCCCAGTGCATAATCCCCGATTAACATAATTCAAAACCCACTGGATGCATTGACACCAAACTTGAACACAATACACCTATCAGGCCAACGAGTGACCATTACTCATTAAAGCACTGAAAAACACAGTGGAAGAGACTTAAAAGCCAAAAAATAAAATAAAAAAGACATTTCATTACAACGTATGCGCATAACCACATAAATACACATACACACAAAACACATATACACAGACTGGGCCACAGCAACGTGTGGCAGGGGACGGCTAGTATATTATATTGATATATAAGCCTTAAAGTGCCAGTTTGAATGGTAGTAAAAGTGCAACAGCTTTTTTACTTGTTCACTAACACATTACACAGCAATGTTTATAGCAGACATGGGCAAACTTTGGCCCTCCCTCCAGGTGTTTTGGAAGTGTGGGAATTAACGTCCATAACACCTAGAGGGAGGGCCAGAGTTTACCCATGGCTGAGATACAGCATGACTCCTGTCTCTGCAGTTTCGTTTATCCAAGCCTGACAAAATATGTTGTGACGATGTGTAGATTTTATTCCTTTGGTTATGTGTAGTTTGGACAGTGGTTTAGGGATGGTAAGTATGGGAGATTATATTTTGTTGGAGAGGGTGGCTTGGCGTTAGCTGAGTTGCCATAGCAACAGGGGTGGAGCCAACTGCCTCTTCAGGGGCAGCTGTTTTAAAAAAGAGTCAGTCAGTACGCCGGCGAGCTACTGAGTGGACTGAATCTCTTGGTGGAGATTCAGGGAATGTGTCTGTAGCCAGGGTGCTATAGGGAAAGACTGAATCTCTTGGTGGAGATTCAGGGAGTCAATTGGTGACCAAAGTGGTTACAGAGAAGGACCCGGTACAGGGGGTTGTTGATTCTGAATTAAGAATCAAGGTTTGGCTGGGTTTAAGCCTGTTGTGCCAGCTGTGAAACCTTTTGAAGTGTTTGCCTGAGTTTACTCATGAAACCTTTCCAATGTATCCATCAAGATTTGTGCCTCTTTTGAAGAAACAGTTATACATTGTTATACTCCTGTTAAAATAAACTTGTTACTGATTTCCTCAAGCCTTGCCTGATACAGTTTCTCCTAAGTTGAACAGCCTGCAATAGTAAAGTCAAGCCAGGAAAGTAAACGCTACGCTATCAAGTGAATAAAGCCTTCTGTAATTAACAGTCCCTTTATAAAATAGCTCCTAGGTTGATATTGATCGTTGCCCGGCTTCCCTCATAGATCAGGTGGCAGTGGGTGCTTTACCACGCGCACCTTCACAATTGGTGGCATTCGGTGGCATTAAAACTGTCATCGTTACAATTGGTGGCAGCAGTTTAACGACTCCTTCACATATGTCCTCCAGCCTGACACTTCGTTCCGATAGGGTTTGTTGTTGTGCATAGTTTTGCATCTCCATGTGAAAGCCCAGCAAGGAGTCCCTTGGGGATACGGGGATTTTGCAGAGCGGAGGACTCTGTGTCTCTGACGCCCTTCTCTCCCTCCCTGGCAGGTCTGTGTGGAGAAGCTGCTCCCGCTCAGCTCCTTCGCCAACGCCTTCCACCAGGCCACATACAACAAGCAGCCCATGTACCGGAAGGCCATCTACGAGGTGCTCCAGGTAAGAGAGCAGGACCTGTGGGGCTCACACTGGCCGTCAGCAAGCGAAGGGAAGCAACAGGTGGGATCTGGGAGGAAAGCAGGCCACCCCACACACCTGCGCCCCATGCACTCAGAGAGAGCTCACCTTCTCGCTTTCTTTACCTCCTCAGCCTGGATTTAGTTTGCTAGGAACACAGAGGAAGGCTTTGAGAGCAAGTGGTTGGGTTGCTTGTGCCAGTGAGCATGCTAAAAGGAAATGCAAAAATCCCCCTCGACCCCAGGCTTCCTTTTAGACAGGTAGGAATGCCGGCCACCCTCCAATGCCCATCTCCCAATCTTTGGTGGCCAAGGAGAAGGGAAGAAGGTCCAGAACTGGAGTTGGAGATGACAGGGAATGCGCCCTTCCTTGACTTTCCGCAACCCACACGCATCTCCCGCCCCATTTCCTCGCAAAAATCCCCCTCGACTCAGGCTTCCTCTTAGACTGGTAGGAATGCCGGCCACCCTCCAATGCCCATCTCCCAATCTTTGGTGGCCAAGGAGAAGGGAAGAAGGTCCAGAACTGGAGTTGGAGATGATGGGGAAGGTGCCCTTCCTGGCTTTCCGCAACCCACACGCATCTCCCGCCCCATTTCCTTGCAAAAATCCCCCTCGACCCCAGGCTTCCTTTTAGACTGGTAGGAATGCTGGCCACCCTCCAATGCCCATCTCCCAATCTTTGGTGGCTAAGGAGAAGGGAAGAAGATCCAGAAGTTGGAGTCAAGGGGGAAGGTGCCCTTCCTGACTTTCCACAACCCACACGCATCTCCCGCCCCATTTCCTCGCAAAAATCCCCCTCGACCCCAGGCTTCCTTTTAGACTGGTAGGAATGCCGGCCACCCTCCAATGCCCATCTCCCAATCTTTGGTGGCCAAGGAGAAGGGAAGAAGGTCCAGAACTGGAGTTGGAGATGATGGGGAAGGTGCCCTTCCTGGCTTTCCGCAACCCACACGCATCTCCCGCCCCATTTCCTTGCAAAAATCCCCCTCGACCCCAGGCTTCCTTTTAGACTGGTAGGAATGCTGGCCACCCTCCAATGCCCATCTCCCAATCTTTGGTGGCCAAGGAGAAGGGAAGAAGGTCCAGAACTGGAGTTGGAGATGATGGGGAAGGTGCCCTTCCTGGCTTTCCGCAACCCACACGCATCTCCCGCCCCATTTCCTTGCAAAAATCCCCCTCGACCCCAGGCTTCCTTTTAGACTGGTAGGAATGCTGGCCACCCTCCAATGCCCATCTCCCAATCTTTGGTGGCCAAGGAGAAGGGAAGAAGATCCAGAAGTTGGAGTCAAGGGGGAAGGTGCCCTTCCTGACTTTCCACAACCCACACGCATCTCCCGCCCCATTTCCTCGCAAAAATCCCCCTCGACCCCAGGCTTCCTTTTAGACTGGTAGGAATGCCGGCCACCCTCCAATGCCCATCTCCCAATCTTTGGTGGCCAAGGAGAAGGGAAGAAGGTCCAGAACTGGAGTTGGAGATGACAGGGAATGCGCCCTTCCTTGACTTTCCGCAACCCACAGACATCTCCCGCCCCATTTCCCTCCCTCTTTCTCTTTCTTCAGGTGGCCAGCAGCAGATCAGGCAAGATCTTCCCCTCCTGCCCTGAGAACGATGAGACCGACACCTCCAAAGCGGTGGAGATCCAGAACAAGCAGATGATTGAGTGGGCCCTGGGGGGCTTCCAGCCATCCGGCCCAAAGGGACTGGAGCCACCAGAAGGTAGGGCACGAGGGCTGGCCAAAGAGAGAGGTTGGGACAGAGGGGAGCTAGAGCAGTGTGGTGACCCCTTGCCCAGGTCTTGTTGGGACCTTCCCTTGGGTTGGGTGGGAGGGGGACAGGGGCCAGGGCAGCTTTATGCCCCACCAACCTCTTGAGTCTTCCCCTTGAAGACTCTGGGGAAGGGACCCTTGGTTCTCAGAATGCACACACAATACATTTATTTATTTATTTACAGTATTTATATTCCATCCTTCTCACCCCGCAATGTACACATACATGGCAAACATTCAATGCCATAGACACACAACATATATAGACAGACATACAGAGACTATTTAACATTCAAGCTTTTTGATGAGGGTATTCTGGCCACCAGGGGAGATGTGGCTTCACCGTCCATTTGTGACACTGATGAAGTACTTCTTCATTCTTTGCATGCTTGCTGGTGATTTTTATCACCTCGTAAATACATGGCAAACATTCAATGCCACAGACACACAACACATATAGACAGTCAGAGGCTATTTAATATTCCAATTTTGTGGCCACCAGGGGAGCTGTCGCTTCACTGTCCATCTGCGACACTGAGGAAGTACTTCCTCATTCTTTGCATGCTTGCTGGAGATTTTTATGACCTCGTAAATACATGGCAAACATTCAATGCCATAGACACACAACACATAGACATCCAGGGGCTATTTAATATTTCAATTTTCAGGACACCAGTGAGCTGTCGCTTCACCGTCCATTTGTGACACGGATGAAGTACTTCCTCATTCTTTGCATGCTTGCTGGGGATTTTTATGACCTCGTAAATACATGGCAAACATTCAATGCCACAGGCACGCAACACATATAGACAGACAGTCAGAGGCTATTTAACATTCCGATTTTCTGGCCACCAGGGGAGCTGTCGCTTCACCGTCCAACTGTGACACTGATGTAGTACTTTCTCATTCTATGCATGCTTGCTGGAGATTTTTATGGCCTCGTAAATTCATGGCAAACATTCAATGCCATAGACACGCAACACATATAGATGGTCAGAGGCTATTAACATTCCAATTTTCTGGCCACCAGGGGAGCTGTTGCTTCACCGTCCATTTGTGACACGGATGAAGTACTTCCTCATTCTTTGCATGCTTGCTGGAGATTTTTATGACTTCGTAAATACATGGCAAACATTCAGTGCCACAGACACACAACACATAGACATCCAGGGGCTATTTAACATTCCAATTTTCTGGCCACCAGGGGAGCTGTCGCTTCACCGTCCATTTGTGACATGGATGAAGTACTTCCTCATTCTTTGCATGCTTGCTGGAGATTTTTATGGCCTCGTAAATTCATGGCAAACATTCAATGCCATAGACACGCAACACATATAGATGGTCAGAGGCTATTTAACATTCCAATTTTCTGGCCACCAGGGGAGCTGTCGCTTCACCGTCCATTTGTATATTCAGATGGTCTTCGGCAACCCCTCTGACACCGCCTTGCGACCCCCGTAGGGGTCCCGACCCCCAGGTGGAGAAACACTGACCCAGGGCATGCTTGATTCCTGAGGATACGCTTCTTGCTCCGTGTTGACACTCACCTCTTTTCTAATCTCTCCTTCTGTCGTCTCCCAGAGGAGCGCAACCCCTACAAAGAAGTTTACACCGAGATGTGGGTGGAACCTGAAGCCGCCGCCTACGCGCCTCCCCCGCCAGCCAAAAAGCCCAGGAAAAGCACAGCCGAGAAGCCCAAGGTCAAGGAGATCATAGACGAGCGCACCAGAGGTAAGCCGGAGGGGACAAGGGTGGTCTCAGAGGGACAGCCTTAGGTCTGAAGATAGGGCCATGCTCTAGGCTATTAGGAATTGTGGAAGTACAAAACACCCAGAGGAGGGCTGAAGTTGGCCCATGCCTGATCTATGCTATAGAATGACTAATAACCTGAAGAAGAGAAGGCTGAGAGGGGATATGATAACCATGTATAAATATGTGAGAGGAAGCCACAGGGAGGAGGGAGCAAGCTTGTTTTCTGCTTCCCTGGAGACTAGGACGCGGAACAATGGCTTCAAACTACAAGAGAGGAGATTCCATCTGAACATGAGGAAGAACTTCCTGACTGTGAGAGCCGTTCAGCAGTGGAACTCTCTGCCCCGGAGGGTGGTGGAGTCTCCTTCTTTGGAAGCTTTTAAACAGAGGCTGGATGGCCATCTGTCAGGGGTGATTTGAATGCAATATTCCTGCTTCTTGGCAGGGGGTTGGACTGGATGGCCCATGAGGTCTCTTCCAACTCTTTGATTCTAGGATTATACAATAATCTATATAAATAAAAATGTAATGTTCGTTTGTGGGATGAACATCACTCAAAAACCACTGGACGAATTGACACCAAATTTGGACACAAGACACCTCTCAGACCAACGAGTGACCATCATTCATAAAAACACTGAAAAACAGAGCGGAAGAGACTTAAAAAGCCAAAAAACAAAAAAATACATGCGCAAAACCATATATATATACACACACACACATACACACACACATATATGCATATACACACACAAAACATACACAGAAAGGAGGGAGGGAGGAAGGAAAGAAAGGAAGGTATAGAGGAAGGAAGGAGAGAAGGAAGGAGAGAAGAGGGAAGGAGAGAAGGAAAAAGAAAGAAGGGAGAGAAAGAGGGAGGAAGGGAAAGAAAGAAAGAAAGAGGGAGGAAGGAAGAAGAGGGGGAGAAAGAGGAGAAGGAAAGAAAGAAAGGTAGAGAAGAAGGGAAAGGAAAAGAGGGAGGAAGGAGAGAGAGAAAGGAGGAGGGAAGGTTGGCCACAGCAATGTGTGGTGGGTACAGCTAGTCTATATAAATAAAAATGTAATTTCGTTTGTGGGATTAACAGAACTCAAAAACCACTGGACGAATTGACACCACATTTGGACACAAGACACCTAACAACCCAATGTATGTCCTTCACTAAAAAAAAATTGATTTTGTCCTTTGGGAGTTGTAGTTGCTGGGATTTATAGTTCACCTACAATCAAAGAGCATTCTGAACCCACCAACGATGGAATTGAACCAAACTTGGCACATAGGACTCCCACAGCCAACAGGAAATTCTGGAAGGGTTTAGTGGGCATTGACCTTGAGTTTGGGAGTTGTAGTTCACCTACATCCAGAGAGCACTGTGGACTCAAACAAGAATGGATCTGGACAAAAATTGGCACAAATACCCCATATGCCCAAATGTGAACACAGATGGAGTTTGGGGGAAATAGATCTTGACATTTGGAAGTTATAGTTGCTGGGATTTATAGTTCACCAACAATCAGAGCATTCTGAACCCACCAACAATCGCTATTGTGTTTTTTTTTTTTTTTTTTTTTTTTTTTGTTTTCTGGTGGTCTTTGGCAACCCTTCTCACACCCCCTCATGACCCCCCCAGGGGTCCTGACCCCCAGGTTGAGAAATGCTGCCTTAAGGCCATCCAGTCCAACTTCCTTCACCAGGGCAAGAAAACGTAATCAAAGCCCTCCAGACAAAGAGCCATCCAGCCATAGATATAGATAGATGTGATTCACACACAGAGAGGACAATATAATGTCGTAGATTTTATGTTCCAGAGTAGGCCAACCAGACAATCTCTACATCAACATTAACAAAGAAACAACAAGAAGTACTGTTTACCCACAAGCAAAAAGACATTACATAGATTAGAAACCAACACTTTCTTGTTACTTTATTTTCCAGATCACCAGACTGTGCCACAGCAACGCCTGGCAGGGGACGGCTAGTAATAAATAATAATAAACTTTATTTATACCCTGCCACCATCTCTCCGAAAGTGACATGAGGCCAAGCCCAAAATTACAATACAGCAAAATAAAATAAAATACAAACAACAATAATAACATCATTAATGTCTCCTTATTATAACAAAATAGAGTAAAAACGCAAAATATCATAGCGGAGGAATAAAAACAAAGCAGGCGGGCCAAATGCATAAGATAAAATTGGTAAAACCCTGGGTGAGATAAGTAAATAGAGTAGTATGTGTCTGGGGGGAGAACTCAGAAGGGACGAACAATGGGGTTGACCTTCACTAAAGGACGAGATAAAGTGCATCATGAGGACAGATTTCGTTATTTACTACATTTATATACCACCTCTCTCGGCCCACAGGCGACTCGGAGTCAATATCAAAGACATAAAATACAATTTAAAAACAATCAATTAGGGGTGGGCATGGTCAACTTCGGTAGGCTGTTAGGAATTGTGGGAGTTGAAGTCCAAAACACCTGGAGGAAGGCCAAAGTTGGCCCATGCCTGCCCTAGAGCATAGAGTTGAAATCCAAAGCGAAATGAGACCATTTCCTTTCCCTCCCTTGGTTGCTCTCATGGCTTTTGGGTCCTTCAACGTAGAGGAGCCTGCCAGGCTTTACAGGAGGGATCATTCACAGTGGGGGGAACAGGATGTTGACTCATTCAATGGTGTGTGCGTGTGTTTGTGTGTCTCCAAAGCGCTCCACCACACCATAATGTGCTTCTGACGTGTCCTCTTCCTTTCCAGAGCGCCTTGTGTATGAGGTTCGACAGAAGTGCAGGAACATTGAAGGTGAGTGTGGACAAGGGATGATGGGGTTCTTGCCTCGCCATTGCCCCCTATAGAAATAATGCCCATTGAAGTACAGTCAGAGGCGCTTCTCACTTGCCCGAGGTGCTTGCTTCTCAAGATCACAAGGCACCCGATGGGCAGTGAGTGGGTGGAACCATCAGCTACTGAATGTGATAAGAGTGGTAGAGCATGAGGGAGCTTTCCACGAAGGGGACAGGGCATGCATCCCTCCCCACCCTGAGTTGGGCATTCTGTAATTGCCCCATTGCTCACAAATTGTCAACCTGGGAGCATTGTCTCTTGTGCCACCTCCCAGTCACCATCTCCAACCAAAAGCGGCCAGGGTAGCTTTCTGGCATTGCCAATCGAGTGGAGTGCCGCAGGGTTCCGTCCTGGGCCCGGTCCTGTTCAACGTCTTTATTAATGACTTAGATGAAGGGCTAGAAGGCATGATCATCAAGTTTGCAGACGACCAAATTGGGAGGGATAGCCAAGACTCCAGAGGACAGGAGCAGGACTCAAAGGGATCTTGACAGATTAGAGAGATGATTGGCCAAAACTAACAAAATGAAGTTCAACAGTGACAAATGCAAGAGACTCCACTTTGGCAGGAAAAACAAAATGCAAAGAGACAGAATGGGGGACGATGCCTGGCTCGAGAGCAGTACGTATGAAAAAGATCTTGGAGTCCTCGTGGACAACAAGTTAAACATGAGCCAGGAATGTGATGTGGCGGCAAAAAAGCCAATGGGATTTTGGCCTGCATCAAGAGGAGCATAGTGTCTAGATCTAAGGAAGTCATGCTACCCCTCTATTCTGCTTTGGTTAGACCACACCTGGAATATTGTGTCCAATTCTGGGCACCACAATTCAAGAGAGATATTGACAAGCTGGAATGTGTCCAGAGGAGGGGACTAAAATGATCAAGAGTCTGGAGAACAAGCCCTATGAGGAGCGGCTTAAGGAGCTGGGCATGTTTAGCCTTGAAGAAGAGAAGGCTGAGAGGAGACATGATAGCCATGTATAAATATGTGAGAGGAAGCCACAGGGAGGAGGGAGCAAGCTTGTTTTCTGCTTCGCTGGAGACTAGGACGCGGAACAATGGCTTCAAACTACAAGAGAGGAGGTTCCATCTGAACACGAGGAAGAACTTCCTGACTGTGAGAGCCGTTCAGCAGTGGAACTCTCTGCCCCGGAGTGTGGTGGAGGCTCCTTCTTTGGAAGCTTTTAAACAGAGGCTGGATGGCCATCTGTCAGGGGTGATGTGAATGCAATATTCCTGCTTCTTGGCAGGGGGTTGGACTGGATGGCCCATGAGGTCTCTTCCAACTCTAGGATTCTATGATTCTAGGAGAGCACTGGCCCATGCGTCTCCTTTCTCTTCTGACTTGCCACCTTCACCTGCCTCTCTCCTAGATATCTGCATTTCCTGTGGAAGCCTCAACGTCACCCTTGAACACCCCCTCTTCATTGGAGGAATGTGCCAAAACTGCAAGGTAGGAGGGGGGAGTGGGTGGGTGGGTTGGAAGCCCCCAGGGCGTGGGAGTGAGAAGTGGGAGTGGGCAGGAGGCTTGGCTTGTGGGGCAGGGAAGGCAGAGGGGTCGGCACTCAGGCGGGGCGGCTCAAAAGGCCAGGAAATGGGTCCCAAAGCAGACCAGCTTTGGTCCACGAACCTGTTGAGTTCTTCTTCTCCATGGCTCCAAATGGTGGAAGTGTCATCCACATATCTGAACATATAGTGGACTTTTTTGTTGCTGTTTCAAAGTTTCAAAGTGTTGGACTACTCTCACAACTACCATGTCAGACGACACAGAGAAGCCACTGAAATCCATAAACATGTGGACAATTTCAACAGAAAGGAGAAAACCATGAAAATGAACATAATCTGACTACCAGTATTTTAAAAAAACCTCTAAAATTATCACAGTCAAAACAACACTCAAACACAGAGAAAGTCCAGAGAGGAAACAATCAGGGACAGCTAATCACCTCTCAACAAAAGATTCCCCCAGGCACTAACAAGCCACACCAAAAAAACTGCCAGGCCATTTATTTATTTATTTGTCGTGTCAGGGGCAACCAGATGATTGTGTTACATTTCTAACAGAACAAAAACAAACAGACACAAAACAATATTTGCAAGCTTGGTAGTGGATTAAATGTCCTTTGACCAGTATCTGGCCCTTTGGAGTGCCTCTGGTGTTGCCGCAAGAAGGTCCTCCATCGTGCATGTGGCAGGGCTCAGGTTGCATTGCAGCAGGTGGTCAGTGGTTTGCTCCTCTCCACACTCGCATGTCGTGGACTCCACTTTGTGGCCCCATTTCTGAAGGTTGGCTCTGCATCTCGTGGTGCCAGAGCACAGTCTGTTCAGCGCCTTCCTTCCAAGTTGCCCATTTGTCGGTGTGCCCAGGGGGGAGTCTCGTATTTGGTTTCAGCCATTGATTGAAATTCTGGGTTTGAGCCTGCCACTTTTGGACTCTCGCTTGCTGAGGTGTTCCAGCGAGTGTCTCTGTAGATCTTAGAAAACTATGTCTTGATTACGTGCTGGCTGATACCCAAACAGGGGATGAGCTGGAGATGTCTCTGCCTTGATCCTTTCACTATTGGCTGCCACGTCCCAGCGGATGTCAGGTGGTGCAATGCCGGCTAAACAGTAATTTCTCCAGTGGTGTAGGGCGCAGACACCCTGTGATAATGCAGCATGTCTCATTAAGAGCCACATCCACTGTTTTAGCGTGGTGAGATGTGTTCCACACTGGGCATGCATACTCAGCAGCAGAGTAGCATAGCGCAAGGGCAGGTGTCTTCACTGTGTCTGGTTATGATCCCCAGGTTGTGCCAGTCATCAAATGCTAATCAAGGGATCCAATTGAAACATTCACACCTAGCTCCAACAGACAAGAGTTCTTTCTCCCATCCTGGACATTCCACAGATATATAAACCTGTTTTCCTAGTTCCAACAAACCTCACAATCTCTGAGGATGCTTGCCATAGATGCAGGTGAAACGTCAGGAGAGAATGCTTCTAGAACATGGCCACACAACCCAAAAAAACCTACAACAACCCAGTGATTCCAGCCATGAAAGCCTTCAACAATATACAATATATTTGTATTCCGCCCTATCTCCCCGGGGGACTCAGGGTGGATTACAGAACGCATAGATGGCAAACAGTCAATGCCGTTATACAATTAACAAAGACAGACAATACATAAACAAGGGTAAACACTTCCCATCTTTTCCATCTTCGGCATCTGGAGGCTATGCTCGACTCCAACCACAGGAGGTGCTGTCGCTCCATCTTCCATGCCAAGGAGCTTTGTTGTCTTTAGACACGATCCTGGTGTATCCTCATGGACTCCTTCTATTACCTTCCCACCAAAGCAGTACCTATTTATCTACTCACATTACTGTTTTCGAAATGCTAGATTATCAGAAGCTGGACTGATGGTTGGGAGCTCACTCCAACCTGGGCTTGAACTGTTGACCTTTCAGTCGGCAAGATTTTCTGCAACTGGTGGTTTAATCCACTGTGCTAAAGCCCGGCCCTTTGTCACGATGCCAGGGCTCTGCCTTATTCAGGTAGAGATGAACCAAACAAATACCCAGTTTGTATCAAGCAGTTGAATTAAAACAGCACTTACTTTCTGGCAGTTTTAATAGCCTGGCCCTTTGTCACGATGCCAGGGCTCTGCCTTATTCAGATAGAGATGAACCAAACAAATACCCAGTTTGTATCAAGCAGTTTAATTAAAACAGCACTTACTTTCTGGCAGTTTTAATAGCCTGGCCCTTTGTCACGATGCCAGGGCTCTGCCTTATTCAGGTAGAGATGAACCAAACAAATACCCAGTTTGTATCAAGCAGTTGAATTAAAACAGCACTTACTTTCTGGCAGTTTTAATAGCCTGGCCCTTTGTCACGATGCCAGGGCTCTGCCTTATTCAGATAGAGATGAACCAAACAAATACCCAGTTTGTATCAAGCAGTTTAATTAAAACAGCACTTACTTTCTGGCAGTTTTAATAGCCTGGCCCTTTGTCACGATGCCAGGGCTCTGCCTTATTCAGGTAGAGATGAACCAAACAAATACCCAGTTTGTATCAAGCAGTTTAATTAAAACAGCACTTACTTTCTGGCAGTTTTAATAGCCTGGCCCTTTGTCACGATGCCAGGGCTCTGCCTTATTCAGATAGAGATGAACCAAACAAATACCCAGTTTGTATCAAACAGTTTAGTTAAAACAGCACTTACTTTCTGGCAGTTTTAATAGCCTGGCCCTTTGTCACGATGCCAGGGCTCTGCCTTATTCAGATAGAGATGAACCAAACAAATACCCAGTTTGTATCAAACAGTTTAGTTAAAACAGCACTTACTTTCTGGCAGTTTTAATAGCCTGGCCCTTTGTCACGATGCCAGGGCTCTGCCTTATTCAGATAGAGATGAACCAAACAAATACCCAGTTTGTATCAAACAGTTTAGTTAAAACAGCACTTACTTTCTGGCAGTTTTAATAGCCTGGCCCTTTGTCACGATGCCAGGGCTCTGCCTTATTCAGATAGAGATGAACCAAACAAATACCCAGTTTGTATCAAGCAGTTTAATTAAAACAGCACTTACTTTCTGGCAGTTTTAATAGCCTGGCCCTTTGTCACGATGCCAGGGCTCTGCCTTATTCAGATAGAGATGAACCAAACAAATACCCAGTTTGTATCAAACAGTTTAGTTAAAACAGCACTTACTTTCTGGCAGTTTTAATAGCCTGGCCCTTTGTCACGATGCCAGGGCTCTGCCTTATTCAGGTAGAGATGAACCAAACAAATACCCAGTTTGTATCAAGCAGTTTAATTAAAACAGCTCTTACTTACTTTCTGGCTGTTTTAATAGCCCAAAATATAAAGCATAAAGATTGCACTCAGCCACAGAATATAAAACAAAAACAGGAAACACTTTCAGGTTCAAGATAACTCCATAGTCAAAAGGTCCAGTCCAGTGGTCAAATGCCGAGAGTTCGATAAACCAAGTCCAGGGATCAAGAATCTATACCATAGTTAAAAGCCAGTCCAAAGATTCAAGGTTCCAGAATTCCAAAGGTTCAAGAGACAGGTGAAGACATCCAAAATCCACAAACCTGGGGGAAAACCAGCAGCATCTACCACCAAAATAAGTTCCAAGGCTCACTCCTTATATCTAGAAACACCCAGCTGCAACCCATCTCTTGCATACCTCCACCCTTAATTGCTTTCACCCATGAACTCTTACTTACGGATCTGGCCACAGTGGTCCACGCTCTTGTTACATCCCGATTAGATTACTGCAACGCACTCTACGTGGGGTTGCCTTTGAAGACTGTTCGGAAACTCCAACTAGTCCAGCGGGAGGCAGCCAGAGTACTTACAGGAGCGTCATACAGGGAGCATACCACCCCCCTGTTATGTCAGCTCCACTGGCTGCCGATCCAATTCCGAGCACAATTCAAATTGCTGGTCTTGACCTACAAAACCCTATACGGTTCCGGCCCAGCGTATCTGTCCGAACACATCTCCCTCTACGTCCCACCTCGGAGTTTAAGATCTTCCGGAGGCCCTGCTCTCGACCCCGCCTCTATCACAAGTGAGATTGGTGGGGACGAGGAGCAGGGCCTTCTTGGTGGTGGCCCCTCACCTATGGAATTCACTCCCCGGGGAAATTAGATCAGCGACATCCCTCCTTTCCTTTAGAAGGAAATTAAAAACATGGATTTGGGACCAGGCATTTGGACAATCTGGCAGATACATAAAGGACAATGACGATTGATAGGAACGGAAAATGTGGAATGAAGTTATGGACTCTGAATGGCGAACGCTGAGCATGAGATTAGTTTTATGATTATGTTATATATCGATTGTTTTGACTGCTATAACTGTTTTAATTGCTGTTTTATACGTTATCTGTATTACTGTGTAGACATCGAATTGTGCCTTTTGTAAGCCGCCCTGAGTCCCCCTTCGGGGGTTGAGAAGGGCGGGGTAGAATTACACGAAATAAAATAATAAATAATTACAGAGAACATGCTTGGTTAGACCACATCTGGAATATTGTGTCCAATTCTGGGCACCACAATTCAAGAGAGATATTGACAAGCTGGAATGTGTCCAGAGGAGGGCGACTAAAATGATCAAGGGTCTGGAGAACAAGCCCTATGAGGAGAGGCTTAAGGAGCTGGGCATGTTTAGCCTGAAGAAGAGAAGGCTGAGAGGAGATATGATAGCCATGTATAAATATGTGAGAGGAAGCCACAGGGAGGGAGCAAGCTTGTTTTCTGCTTCCCTGGAGACTAGGACGCAGGAACAATGGCTTCAAACTACAAGAGAGGAGATTCCATCTGAACATGAGGAAGAACTTCCTGACTGTGAGAGCCGTTCAGCAGTGGAACTCTCTGCCCCGGATTGTGTTGGAGGCTCCTTCTTTGGAAGCTTTTAAGCAGAGTCTGGATGGCCATCTGTCAGGGGTGATTTGAATGCAATATTCCTGCTTCTTGGCAGGGGGTTGGACTGGATGGCCCATGAGGTCTCTTCCAACTCTTTGATTCTATGATTCTATGTCTTTGTCTCTCCTTCCATCTGTTCCTCAGAACTGCTTTTTGGAGTGCGCCTACCAGTACGATGACGACGGCTACCAGTCCTACTGCACCATCTGCTGTGGCGGCCGCGAAGTCCTCATGTGCGGGAACAACAACTGCTGCCGGTGAGCAAGGAGTCGTGAGGGAAGGCAGTGGAGCTAAGAAGGGAATTCCCTCCACTGAGAATAATAACATAATACACTTTATTTATATTCCGCTCAATCTCCCCGAAGGGACTCAGAGCAGATTACAACATACACAGATAGGCACACATTCAGTGCCTTTACTACAGTGAAATAACAGTGACACACAGATACTCAGAACAAAGGCATTATGGTTTAAGGACCCAATTTGCTCAGTGGTAAAAGCTGCACAATTGTCTATATAAATAAAAATGTAAAGTTGGTTTGTGGGATTAGCAGAACTCAAAAGCCACTGGGGGAATTGACACCAAATTTGGACACAAGACACCTAACAACCCAATTTATGTCCTTCACTCATGAAAAACACAGCAGAAGGGACTTAAAAAGCCCCAAAAAGCTAAATGAGAATACGGGAAAAAGGAAGGGTAGAAAAGAAAGAAAAGAAAGAGGGAGGAAAAGAAAGAAGGAAAGGGAGAAGGAAGGAAAGAGGGATCAAAGGAAGGGGGAAGATGTAGAGAAAGAGGGAGGGAAGGAAAGGAAAGGGAGAAGGAAGGAAAGAGGGATCAAAGGAAGGGGGAAGATGTAGAGAAAGAGGGAGGGAAGGAAAGGAAAGGGAGAAGGAAGGAAAGAGGGATCAAAGGAAGGGGGAAGATGTAGAGAAAGAGGGAGGGAAGGAAAGGAAAGGGAGAAGGAAGGAAAGAGGGATCAAAGGAAGGGGGAAGATGTAGAGAAAGAGGGAGGGAAGGAAAGGAAAGGGAGAAGGAAGGAAAGAGGGATCAAAGGAAGGGGGAAGATGTAGAGAAAGAGGGAGGGAAGGAAAGGAAAGGGAGAAGGAAGGAAAGAGGGATCAAAGGAAGGGGGAAGATGTAGAGAAAGAGGGAGGGAAGGAAAGGAAAGGGAGAAGGAAGGAAAGAGATAGAGAAGGAAGGAAGAAGAGAAGGAAAGACAGAAAAGAAAGAAAAGAAAGAGGGAGGAAAAGAAAGAAGGAAAGGGAGAAGGAAGGAAAGAGGGATCAAAGGAAGGGGGAAGATGTAGAGAAAGAGGGAGGGAAGGAAAGGAAAGGGAGAAGGAAGGAAAGAGGGATCAAAGGAAGGGGGAAGATGTAGAGAAAGAGGGAGGGAAGGAAAGGAAAGGGAGAAGGAAGGAAAGAGGGATCAAAGGAAGGGGGAAGATGCAGAGAAAGAGGGAGGGAAGGAAAGGAAAGGGAGAAGGAAGGAAAGAGGGATCAAAGGAAGGGGGAAGATGTAGAGAAAGAGGGAGGGAAGGAAAGGAAAGGGAGAAGGAAGGAAAGAGGGATCAAAGGAAGGGGGAAGATGTAGAGAAAGAGGGAGGGAAGGAAAGGAAAGGGAGAAGGAAGGAAAGAGGGATCAAAGGAAGGGGGAAGATGCAGAGAAAGGGAGGGAAGGAAAGGAAAGGGAGAAGGAAGGAAAGAGGGATCAAAGGAAGGGGGAAGATGTAGAGAAAGAGGGAGGGAAGGAAAGGAAAGGGAGAAGGAAGGAAAGAGGGATCAAAGGAAGGGGGAAGATGTAGAGAAAGAGGGAGGGAAGGAAAGGAAAGGGAGAAGGAAGGAAAGAGGGATCAAAGGAAGGGGGAAGATGCAGAGAAAGAGGGAGGGAAGGAAAGGAAAGGGAGAAGGAAGGAAAGAGGGATCAAAGGAAGGGGGAAGATGTAGAGAAAGAGGGAGGGAAGGAAAGGAAAGGGAGAAGGAAGGAAAGAGGGATCAAAGGAAGGGGGAAGATGTAGAGAAAGAGGGAGGGAAGGAAAGGAAAGGGAGAAGGAAGGAAAGAGGGATCAAAGGAAGGGGGAAGATGTAGAGAAAGAGGGAGGGAAGGAAAGGAAAGGGAGAAGGAAGGAAAGAGGGATCAAAGGAAGGGGGAAGATGTAGAGAAAGAGGGAGGGAAGGAAAGGAAAGGGAGAAGGAAGGAAAGAGGGATCAAAGGAAGGGGGAAGATGTAGAGAAAGAGGGAGGGAAGGAAAGGAAAGGGAGAAGGAAGGAAAGAGGGATCAAAGGAAGGGGGAAGATGTAGAGAAAGAAGGAAGGGGGGGAAGGAAAGGAAAGGGAGAAGGAAGGAAAGAGGGATCAAAGGAAGGGGGAAGATGCAGAGAAAGAGGGAGGGAAGGAAAGGAAAGGGAGAAGGAAGGAAAGAGGGATCAAAGGAAGGGGGAAGATGTAGAGAAAGAGGGAGGGAAGGAAAGGAAAGGGAGAAGGAAGGAAAGAGGGATCAAAGGAAGGGGGAAGATGTAGAGAAAGAGGGAGGGAAGGAAAGGAAAGGGAGAAGGAAGGAAAGAGGGATCAAAGAAGGAAGATGAGAGGAGGGGGGGGGAAGGAAAGGAAAGGGAGAAGGAAGGAAAGAGGGATCAAAGGAAGGGGGAAGATGCAGAGAAAGAGGGAGGGAAGGAAAGGAAAGGGAGAAGGAAGGAAAGAGGGATCAAAGGAAGGGGGAAGATGCAGAGAAAGGGAGGGAAGGAAAGGAAAGGGAGAAGGGAGGAAAGAGGGATCAAAGGAAGGGGGAAGATGTAGAGAAAGAGGGAGGGAAGGAAAGGAAAGGGAGAAGGAAGGAAAGAGGGATCAAAGGAAGGGGGAAGATGCAGAGAAAGAGGGAGGGAAGGAAAGGAAAGGGAGAAGGAGGAAAGAGGGATCAAAGGAAGGGGGAAGATGTAGAGAAAGAGGGAGGGAAGGAAAGGAAAGGGAGAAGGAAGGAAAGAGGGATCAAAGGAAGGGGGAAGATGTAGAGAAAGAGGGAGGGAAGGAAAGGAAAGGGAGAAGGAAGGAAAGAGGGATCAAAGGAAGGGGGAAGATGTAGAGAAAGAGGGAGGGAAGGAAAGGAAAGGGAGAAGGAAGGAAAGAGGGATCAAAGGAAGGGGGAAGATGTAGAGAAAGAGGGAGGGAAGGAAAGGAAAGGGAGAAGGAAGGAAAGAGGGATCAAAGGAAGGGGGAAGATGTAGAGAAAGAGGGAGGGAAGGAAAGGAAAGGGAGAAGGAAGGAAAGAGGGATCAAAGGAAGGGGGAAGATGTAGAGAAAGAGGGAGGGAAGGAAAGGAAAGGGAGAAGGAAGGAAAGAGGGATCAAAGGAAGGGGGAAGATGTAGAGAAAGAGGGAGGGAAGGAAAGGAAAGGGAGAAGGAAGGAAAGAGGGATCAAAGGAAGGGGGAAGATGTAGAGAAAGAGGGAGGGAAGGAAAGGAAAGGGAGAAGGAAGGAAAGAGGGATCAAAGGAAGGGGGAAGATGTAGAGAAAGAGGGAGGGAAGGAAAGGAAAGGGAGAAGGAAGGAAAGAGATAGAGAAGGAAGGAAGAAGAGAAGGAAAGACTGGAAGGAAGGAAGGAAAGAGGGAGTGAAGGAAGGAGGGAAAGAAGGAGAGAAAGAGGGAAGGTTGGCCACAGCAAAGCTTGGCGGGTACAGCTAGTTCATATTATTATTATTATTATTATTTATAATAATAATAATTTTCCACCCTCTCTCCCCAAGTGGATTCACAACAAAAGATGGCAAACATTCAATCCCAGATCCAATCCATAAAGAAGAAACATAAAACAAACAACCATGTGAAAAAGATCTTGGAGTCCTCGTGGACAACAAGTTAAACATGAGCCAACAATGTGATGTGGCGGCAAAAAAAGCCAATGGGATTTTGGCCTGCATCAATAGGAGCCTAGTGTCTAGATCTAAGGAAGTAATGCTACCCCTCTATTCTGCTTTGGTTAGACCACACCTGGAATATTGTGTCCAATTCTGGGCACCACAATTCAAGAGAGATATTGACAAGCTGGAATGTGTCCAGAGGAGAGCGACTAAAATGATCAATGGTCTGGAGAACAAGCCCTATGAGGAGCAGCTTAAGGAGCTGGGCATGTTTAGCCTGAAGAAGAGAAGGCTGAGAGGAGATATGATAGCCATGTATAAATATGTGAGAGGAAGCCACAGGGAGGAGGGAGCAAGCTTGTTTTCTGCTTCCTTGGAGACCAGGACGCAATGGAACAATGGCTTCAAACTACAAGAGAGGAGATTCCATCTGAACATGAGGAAGAACTTCCTGACTGTGAGAGCCATTCAGCAGTGGAACTCTCTGCCCCAGAGTGTGGTGGAGGCTCCTTCTTTGGAAGCTTTTAAGCAGAGGCTGGATGGCCATCTGTCAGGGGTGATTTGAATGCAATATTCCTGCTTCTTGGCAGAATGGGGTTGGACTGGATGGCCTAGGAGGTCTCTTCCAACTCTAGGATTCTAGGATTCTATGTCCCTAGAAACTATCTAACATAGCAGACATTAGATCTAAATTATATAATATTCATTTAAAATAATTATTAAAATATTATGGCGCGAATAACAGCAGCAAGGTCAACGGTGTTGCAAACAGATTAATCAACTGCTAAGATCAATTAAACGCAGGGTTATGTGCAATGCAAAATGCATATGAACAAGGCTAAGAACACTGCAAATAGATACAGGACAGGTTTCAGCCTGAGTCCAATGCATGAAGTTGTCAAGGCCACATGGGGGAAATTGTCACCTAGTAAAAACCTTACGTGGAATTGGGCTGACCTGCTGGGTGAGTTCCCCAGTAGTGGGTTAATCACAGGTAGCTGAGCCTGCTTAGAAAAGCTGCATCCCTGACGTGTTTTGCTCTTCTGGCTTCCCAGGTGCTTCTGCGTGGAGTGTGTGGACCTGCTGGTGGGGCCCGGTGCCGCTCAGGCCGCCATCAAGGAGGACCCCTGGAACTGCTACATGTGCGGCCACAAGGGCATCTACGGACTGCTCCGGCGGCGCGACGACTGGCCCTCGCGCCTCCAGATGTTTTTCGCCAACAACCACGACCAAGAGTTTGTGAGTTTCGTGGGGGCTGTACTAGTGGGTGGGTGAACACAGGCAGGCCCCTAGACGTCTGGCCTTACTTCCTTAGGCGATCCCTCATTGTCCATGTAGGATAGTCTTCCAATTCCACCTGAACATTAGGAAGAACTTCCTGATCATGAGAGCTGTTCAGCAGTGGAACTCTCTGCCCTGAGACTGGATCTGTAGGTGACTGGAACCCTATTCTTGATATGCATCTTATCCCGCAGTGAGGGCATTGGTTTTCAGGTGGAAGGCTGTCCCGGTCAGGGATGGAAGGCGGTCCCGGTCAGGGATGGAAGGCTGTCCCGGTCAGGGATGGAAGGCTGTCCCGGTCAGGGATGGAAGGCGGTCCCGGTCAGGGATGGAAGGCTGTCCCGGTCAGGGATGGAAGGCGGTCCCGGTCAGGGATGGAAGGCGGTCCCGGTCAGGGATGGAAGGCGGTCCCGGTCAGGGATGGAAGGCGGTCCCGGTCAGGGATGGAAGGCTGTCCCGGTCAGGGATGGAAGGCTGTCCCGGTCAGGGATGGAAGGCGGTCCCGGTCAGGGATGGAAGGCGGTCCCGGTCAGGGATGGAAGGCGGTCCCGGTCAGGGATGGAAGGCTGTCCCGGTCAGGGATGGAAGGCTGTCCCGGTCAGGGATGGAAGGCTGTCCCGGTCAGGGATGGAAGGCTGTCCCGGTCAGGGATGGAAGGCTGTCCCGGTCAGGGATGGAAGGCAGTCCCAGTCAGGGATGGAAGGCTGTCCCGGTCGGGGATGGAAGACCGTCCCGGTCGGGAATGGAAGGCCGTCCCGGTCAGGAATGGAAGGCCGTCCCGGTCAGGGAGGGAAGGTCGTCCCGGTCAGGGTTGGCTTGACGCGCCTTCCTCTTGGCACGTTTCTCTGTGTTGCCCTCCATTTGTGCCTCTTCAAATTCTGCAGCACTGCTGGTCACAGCTGACCTCCAGCTGGAGCGATCAAGGGCCAGGACTTCCCAGTTCTCCATGTCTATGCCAGAGTTTTGAAGGTTGGCTTTCAGCCCATCTTTCAATCTCTTTTCCTGTCCACCAACATTCTGGCCACTGGAATGGTCCAGGAGGCCTCAAGTGGTCCCTGTCAGAGTATTGACGCTTCCCAGTGGAAGGATTGTTAGATCCACAGACACTTTGTTCAAAATAAGGACTCTGCAGGCTTTCAGTTACAATAGAAAACTAAGTTTTTGTCAGAGTGATGCCCCTGGGTCATGCATAGAGTATTTGAGGTTTCCAGATCAATTATCACACTACAGACTTCTTGAGTTTCAAAACAATAAACTTTACTGAAAGCATCTTCTATACAAATGACTACATCTTGAAGAGGAGAAATGGCGACTGACAAAGCAATAGCATGAAACACACAGACAAAGAAAATCCTGCCCTCCTGTCTTATCTGTCTTCTAGCCAGTTAACTCCCTTTTCTTCTCACGAAAAGTCTTATCTAACTTTAGCCAAGGTCTTGACTCTCTGGCCTGTAACAATAATAATCTACTACACGAATGAACAAAAATGAACATGACTGAAACCATCTTGAATTACATTATTAACACATTGAAAAACATACATATAAAATTTGCAATTATCCTGACAGTTTTTACTAAGTACATCTAAACACGTCTATTCACAGCAAGCTACAGACAGGAACTCCTAGGCAAAAACAACAGTCTCTGAACATGTGCTTATCTGACTTCTGGCTGAGACCAGATCCTCCCTTCTCTTCCCAGCAAGAGAACACGTTATCTCATTTCTGTCAAGGTTACATTATCACAGCCTCAGCACAATATTTCTAATACACAATAGAACAGAATAGAATCCATCTTGAAATACATCTTAATCCATCTTAAATTTCATAGAAGCACATTGAAAAACACACATGCATAACTAAATAATCCTGACAGTCTCTCCCTCCCTCTCTATTGGTTTCCTTGGTGCCTCCACACTCAGCCAGGCGGTCACTTCCTGTCACCAGACCTGCACTTACTGGACTTCTTCCCTGTTTGCATCTGGAGTCCCTTGTTTCACCCCTTTGACATGCTTTGGCTAAAGGCCTTCTTCACTCTGACCTCCTCGCATGACTGCTCCTCTTGTTTCTCCAGGACCCACCAAAGGTTTACCCACCTGTCCCAGCTGAACGGAGGAAGCCCATTCGGGTGCTCTCCCTTTTCGACGGCATTGCCACAGGTGAGTCCAGTCCCTCTCCTTTCCGCTGGCCTGGCCTGCAAGTAGAGGCCAGTGGTAGGAACCCTGCCTTTCCCTCTCCTATTTGCCAGGCCTGCTGGTGCTAAAGGACCTGGGCATCCAGGTGGACCGGTACATTGCCTCCGAAGTGTGTGAAGACTCCATCACGGTCGGAATGGTCCGGCACCAGGGCAAGATCATGTATGTGGGGGACGTCCGCAATGTCACCCAGAAACACGTACGTGGAGCACTGCGGGGGTCGGGAGGAGCCGTTGGGTGGTCGGCTTCCCTTTGGTCCAGCCCTTTCCAACTCCCGTCTCCCTGTTGCAGATACAGGAATGGGGCCCTTTTGACCTGGTGATTGGAGGCAGCCCCTGCAATGACCTCTCCATCGTCAATCCGGCCAGGAAGGGCCTTTACGGTAGGGGCCACCTCTGCTGGGTAATGCTAAGGTTATGTTCTTCTAAAGCTGTTCCAGTGGGCCACTTCATAGACACTACTGTTATGGGGAGAGGGACAGGGGAGTCTGTTTTCCTCACCCCAGCTTTGCGAAGGAATACAACCTGGGTTTAGGAGAAGGCTAAGGAAGAGGGAGAGGCTTCCTTTCTTTGGCCCTGGAGACTAGGACTCAATGGAGTCAAGGGTTCAAATGACAGGAAAGGAGATTCCACCTGAACATTAGAGAAACAACTTCCTCACTGTAAGAAGAGCTGTTCAGCAGTGGAACTCTCTGCCTTGGAGTCCAGCAGAGGCTCCTTCTCTACAGGTTTTTAAGCATAGGCTGGAAGGCCATCTGTCGGGGGTGCTTTGGTTGTGCTTTTCCCACATGAAGACTGAATGGGGTTGGACTAGAATAATGGTCCGTTGGGTCTCTTCCAACTCTGATTCTACAATTCTACGAATCACATCCACTTTCCATGCCTTTCACCTCTGTGACTGTATCATGAATAACTTTCCCACATTGGAACAGAATATCCCACTGCTGACACCAGTTATGTCATGAATGACTTTTCAGCAACTTTGAAGCACAGGTTCTTTTTATTGCAATTTCCAGTGTGAGAGGGTAGATCAGATGACAGAAAATCATTTAGAGAAAGAATGGCATTGGACATATAGACATACAGGTTCTACGCAACTACATTGGATTCACTCAACATTCACACCACATGTACATGCATTCATCCTCAGGCATTCCAATATTCCCATATCCTTTTCTCCCTCCTTGGAGAAGCACCTCTTAGGCCAGACCTTGCTTTCCTGCAGTCCTTCCAACACATAGTTCCAAAACTTCCATAACGCCAAAACTTCAAATCGCTGAGATGCCAAAACTTCTTTCCCTAAGCACAGTGCCAAGGACCAGATCTGTGTTTTCCATTCAGCAGAACCTGACTCTCTGCACAAAATCTAAGACTCCAAAAGAACACTTCTTCCTTTTCCCTTGAGAAAGAATCCCCAAAGTGACCAGACTGCTCCCATGCAGATCTGCCACTCTCCATAGGTACATGATCTCTCTCCTTCCCATGGAGCACAGCATAGCGGGTGAACCAGACTCCTCAGGTCTGCCACACTTTGAGCATTATTAGACTGAGTCTTTTATAGGAATATTCTGCTGATGTCGTCCCAAAGTTGTAAATTAATGATAGACATCTTCCATCCTGGATCCATCTCAGTTTCCTGGCCAGATGTTGACTCTTTTTGATTGGTGTTAGCCTTGCATTGACTTCCTTCTTAACATAAGGAAGGTTGCAAACATTTCCTTCATCACTGTCCCAGTTCTCATCAGGGTTTCTCATTAGCAAGTCCAGCAAGCAAGTAGTTAGTCATTGCAGGCCTTAATATTACACTGGTGTTCCCAAAATACATCCTTTCATTCATTCCCAGACATGATTATATCAAATCTGCACATTGAATTTTTTATTACAACTATTGAGTGCAGAAGGGTGAATGAGGGAAGCACTGAGATCAGATCGGCGCCCTCCCTCCTGTCCTTTGGAAGGATGGTTAAAACTTGGCTGTGGGACCAAGCTTTCGGGACAGGACAATAAAGCAGCAATAGGAAATTTTACCAGGCCAATTAGATTTGACGCAGATGACCAAGATGGTTTTAAACAGTGTATTTTAATATTGGAATAAATGTTTTTAATGTTTATGTTTTCATATAATGAATTCTTGCCGTAGATATGCTGTGCTCCGCCCTGAGTCCCCTTCGGGGTGAAAAGGGCGGAATATAAATGTTTAAAATAAAGAAATATTCCCATCATCGCTTGCTCCACTTTAGAAGCGAATAGCGAGAAAGACTCTTTGGGCTGATATTTGCCTGTTAAAGCCTGCTTTGTGAGCCCAGATTGACCGCTTGTTGCCTGTTTAGACTACTGCAACGCTCTCTACGTGGGGTTGCCTCTGAAGACTGCCTGGAAGCTGCAGCTAGTC